AATAATAATAATAACGTAACGCGTCGCACTAATAGAGTTGAATAAGATAATATATTATTTATACCTTATAAATTGGATATTGATACATATTATTATATTATATTAATATTATATTCTATACCTAACGGATAATGCACATATACATTTCATATTATAATATATACGATATACTTACGATTTAAACCAACGCGAYSTGTGTTGTTATCACGGTGTCAGTATTTAAAAAGAAAAACACGATCGATACGAGCGCATGTATATATTGTGTGTATAATATAATATATTTGTGTGAAATGTGAAAGTTAAACGTGGCTGCTTATATGCGAATACGTACGTTTTTATTATTTTTATTTTGATATTTTGCATTAATGGATAGGAAACGATATAGGGTATAATATTGGTATATATATATATATATATATATATATATTATATTATGTACTGCGAGACGATGAAGGAACGGCTTGCACTTGAAACCAGTTTGTATATAAAACTTGTACCCCCGGCAAATGGCTATACTTATATAAATAATATAATATACCTATATAGCTAGGGCTGTATATAGATATAAAACAAACCACGAAAGGATATATAATATGTATATTATTGTATTCGTTCAATACTTCAGTAGGTATATGCATATGAATACATCTATGTACCTACCTATATAAACTGGCCACATACAACATTTAATACATTTTATAAAAGTATAAAATACGCCAAATTTATACGCAGGTATGTCGCATCATCCCGTGTTCGAAAGTGTTAAAATAATATCACGCAATATATGCGTAGAGACTTTAACGACCGCACCGCGAAGCTTTTTACACCACGCGTATAGCTGCGAAAATKTAACATTGTGTAATTAAAATAAACGATAAAATGTCTAACAGGGTCGTTATTGTTAACAGATTGGTGCTATCGTCGTGGTTATTGAACGATGAGCGCTCGCAGCAGCAGTCGAATCAAAAGTCCCGTGGGAAGCAGGTGCCACTACATACTGAAACGATGTATGGCCATCCATCTGCAGAAACAGTCACTCGTTCAGTATGTCCCGCAACAAGCGGAAACTTCGCCGTACTGGATGTACGACAACGGGTACCTAATATTCCAGGCAAGTACATTCAATTATATCATAACATATAATATATACAATGTTTTATCAAACATAATAACATAATAACATAATAATATAATAATAGATAATATAGACAATACAATTTGACGCACCTTCGATATAGAAAATTTATAGGTACGGTGCACCTATATAGTCCGCTTTAATGTTTTTGTTTTAAATTGTTTTTATCGTCGTAAATAATATATAATATTATACTGTCGTAAAAACCTGCACAATAGTTGTCATAATGATATAGGCAATTATAAATACGAAGCATAAACTCGCTTCTCTTTTGAATATATTATAATAATTATTATTATATACTCTTTGGGGGTTTTAGATCCGTAGATGGTTGTGGTAGTTGTTTTCGTGGAGTTTTGTGTAATAACTTTTTACTGCATCCATAAAATATTTCTAAATCGCTGGATGACTAAAATATCAACATATGGTATTATTATATATGTTTCCATATTACGTTTTATAATAATGCGTAAAAGTAGGTACAGCCTAATTACGAATGTTTACCATTTTTCTTTAGCAATAATAGAGGTTAGGTAATAATAAGATTATAAGAATGTAAGACACAATATCATGTTTTCGGTCAAACGAGTAGATACTGGCTGTTACTAATAACAAAATATTTTGTTCTCGAATCTCGATATAAATTGCATGTGAATTATAGCTTACAGGCATTTATATATTATTGATCATTATATTATGGTCAAGCCCCATACATAATTTCATACAGTTTAATTTACATCTTTATAAGTACCGTATAAATTCATATTTATCGTAGAATTTTAATCTGAATTTTATCTTCAAATTGTTCGTTACTTGAGGAAAAATTTAAAATCGAAATAAGTAGGTATAGGTACGTCCAAGAATAGAATACTGCACAATACATATATAGGTTAGAACCTATAACATGTAGACATGTTCTTCAGCTGTGCCAACCAACTGTAGATATAATAAGATTCGTTTAACGGACGCGCAATCAATATCTATAGAGTACCTATACATACGCGCCTATAATGCCTACTCATTTGTTATTTATTATATTATTTACATTGTTCTACTATTCTTCTCGTAATGAGTAATGACTAACCATCATTAAAATACAACTACTGTCTAATTGTGCGCGCTATTTTCCATATTACTACGGTGTCATGATGGAATTCTTAAACAGTTAAATAGATTATTATAAATTAAAATGTACCTATTGTCTTCCGCACTTCTATACATATATGTATTATGTGTACATATAATACGAATATAGTTATTCTTGCTGCGTTTATTTTATCTATACAGTATACATGTTTATTATTTATACAGTATATGCACGAATATTAGAATTATATTTTAATTCATGGTTTATGCTAGATTCAAATTAATTTCACGAGAAACTTTTAATTTTAGAGCTTTTTGGAATCAAATCTAAAATGTGTCTGGAATCGAAGTCTCGTGGAGGCGATGCAAGTGGTCAAATACGAGGGATACGTATCCCCGGGAGTATTGTTGCTCACCGGTGATCCGTGCTCCATGGAGGTAATACGAGGCGCCTGGTGTCGTAATGTACTCAGGCCACCTAATAGTTACGTGATCACTAAAATCGGTAAGACGACAATTATATATTATCATATTATATACTTAATGGCTAATGTAAAATAGTATATATGTAATATGACATTTTATGTACCCAAACGTGTGAATTATACATACAATATTCAATGGATAAGTTTGTTTGTTTTAGGTGACGTGGAAGACTGTGTGGTGGAGGATTTGAACCAAGGACAATTTACGCCGTTATCCGAAGCCCTATGCCTGGTCATACTAGAGCTAACCAGCGCAAACCAAAATGCCACAATTGACACTGTGCGTTCAGCCCTTAAAATATTTTTCTCTAACATACAACCGCCGGCCGAACACATTATCTACGACGCAATGGTCAATCTCATGTCCGATAATAAGGTATAAATACGTGAAAAACAATTTTCACCCAATAGAGATTAATTATATCACACTAAATTCCTATATCCTGAAAACGCGTTTTGAAATTGTACACTCTTTGTTTTCCTTTTTTAGTCACATTAAATTTTTTTTTTCTTTTTTTTTTATTAGAACTTTCAGTATTATAACTATTATAGTTCAACAATTACAATATTGATAGATACAGTGATACAATAAGTAATAATTAATTAAATTCTTATACTATTCAATTTGAACGTTTTTATATCTAATTCTTGTGCATTACTAGCTGAACCCGTGCACTTGGTAGCCCGTTAAAAAGCCCACCTCTTAAATTTCTCAAAGTTTGTGTTAAAATCGTTACCTGTGATCATRCTAGTACAATAAAATAAATAATATCATTGATTATAATTTTTTTTCATATGTGACTTAAACATTTTTTGTTAATAAGCATGCCCATTACAGTTTTGTGAGATAAATGTTAAAACGGTAAGTTGTACTTYRACAGTTGTAATGCGATTAATATTATGAAGATATAACATATAATTGTAATATTAAATAGGCAGGTGCATAATCATCAAGCCTGGGCAAGTTAATGATAATTTTTAACTGAGTTAARTTAAGTTAATGGAAAACATTTTAAAAAGTTTAAAGTTAATAGTTAATCTAATTCTTTTTTTAACTCAGTTAAGTTAAAAGTTATATGAACATTTTCAATTAACTTATTAACTTAAGTTA